TTTAAGAATTTATACAAATTTTACTATGTGTTTGAAAAATCATTAAAATTTTTATATTAAATCAAATCTGGTAATTTCTAAACCAAAAATGAAATTTGAGAAGTCTAGTTTCGTAATAAATTTTTAGATTATGGAATTGATTTATAAATTTAAGTATGGAATTAATTTAAGAAAATGTGATAAATCTGTGTCATAAATTTTCTTGAAATTTTTCAGAATTATTATCTCTTCAATTGTTTATTTGGACTAAAAAATTTGATATTGTACTATTCTAATCTTGTAGATTAAAAATCCATGCATGTGTGTAACTATGATTTATTGGTATCTAAATTATTATTTCATACCATGGTTTAAATAAATTGTTTATTTAAATTTTGTACAATTATTTATTATTGTGTGACATATGTACTATTTTATGTTAGAAATTTTAATGAGTTGGTATAACATTATTAGTAATTAAATGTTGAATTATTGTGAATATCTCAACAAGTAAAGAAATACAAAATTTAATCAATGATACATTAAAATTTAAAAGTGATGGGGTGAGCTCGGTTTAGAATCTTGCGCAAGTGAGTTGCGAACCCTAGCATGACACGGGAAGGTATTTCGGCTCTTATCGGTGTAGGTGATATAACGTTGGTGGTGCGGGTGTCACAACATAGACCGTTCCCTTGGGGCAGACCGTGATGTTACGACTCGGGTATGTAACCCTGGTGCGTGGGCATCATTGGTAGTTACAGTAAGTAACATTTGAACATTTGACAAAGGGGGAGTCAGAATTGCCCGTGGCTATTGCTTGGCGGTTGAGTGGAAATAGTGCTCCGCGGGGAGTTACTTAAATTTATCTGATAAACTAAATTTATGAAACTTTAAAAAGAAAGGTGGACATATTCCTTATGATGAAATGCTGCTTCCGTTTGTTATATTTTTTTTATTTGATTTATTATCTATTGTTATTATTTCAACTGATAACATTCCTTTTATGCTTACTAAATGTTACTTGTTATTCTGTTACTACACATTATTCATAAATTGTGAGTATTATTATCTGGGTGGGTATTTTTGGGTTGTAGTATCTTATTGAGCTCGTCGCTCACTGGCATTCCCGTTGTCCTGGCGTCTTATGCTAGGTACCGAAGAAACTGAAGGAAACACCAAGGTCTTGCAAGGCGACACTCAGCCTTGGTTAACTTGAAGAGTGTCCAAGATCCATGAACCATTTTTCTAAGTTTCTAGTTTTTTTTTTTTTTTTTTTTTTTTTTTTTTTTTTATATTCATGTTGTTTTTATGTACTAAGACTAAGTTTTAAGTTTTTTTTGAAGTTGTAATTTAAGAACTTTTATTTTATGGGTTGTTAATTAATGCTAGTAATATTGATGAGTAATATTGGTGACAACATTGATGAGGGGTTAGTTATTAACAAAATTGATTTTAAGTTCTAAATCTTATTATGATGTCCTCAAATCTTGGGGTGTCACAGTCACTTTCTTGGATTTCTTGGTATATTTACGCTTTCTTTATTTTAATGACTTTAGCCTCACGTAAGGCTCAATGATTACATTTGGGGAAAATTATTTTATTATTCTTCTTACTTTGAGAATATTACAACTCACCTTTATTTGTTCTACCTAATGTAATTTTTTTGGTTTTGAAGGTCCTTTATAACATTTGGATATTTTGGTTTCATAGATTTTATAACTTGCTTTTTACACTATAGGACATGTGATTTTGTAAAATATCAATAGTCAAAAGAAGTTTGAATTTCTCTCAAATTAAAATCTAAATTTGGGAAAATTTGAGAGATTTGTGAAGTTCATCATATGTACCATTTTGATAAAGTAAATCAACCACAACATTTTTTTTTATTGCATTTGTTTTTTTAAAAAAATAGATAAGTGTATTTTTTAAAATCAACCACTATTTTCTTAAGAGACAAACACAATAAGATAAAAAAGTTACAATCATTGGATCAATCTATTTATTTATTATGAATGATATACACGAAAATTCTTATAAAATAGATTATTAAAATGGGATTTACGGTTAACTCTATGACCCCTAAGTTCTCTCAAGATTAGATTCGAAGGTAAAAGAAGCTAAAAATAATTACATATTTTTATTCTATCATAAGAATAACTTCAATTATACAAGTGTAAAGTCATTCTTTAACTTCAATTATAGAAGTGTAACTTCAAGTACTGAATCTTACAATTTTAATCAATAATATCAAGTAAAGGCATCATGTGAACTTGCATGTGGACCATAACATAATTTTTCATAATCTTTATAATAGCCCGGACCAAAAGTATTGTAGAGTCCAAATCTTTGTTTGATTTGATTTTTAAAGTTTATTTTTAGAAAGAAAAATAATTGTAAAAAACTAAAATTTATTTTGGTGACGAGAAAAAAATTAAGGGGTTTTTTTAAGGGTCCCTAGTATTTAGACTTTATAGTATAAAGGACATCTAATATTTTCATAATATCTAAGGTCTCTCAATTTGATCCAGAGAAATTCTGGTCCAGAGAAATTCTGCTTCAGAGAAATTTCAACCCAGAGAAATTTCCATCCAGAGAAATTTGAAACCAGTGAAATTTGAAATTTCTCTGGTTTGTTCAATTTTTTTGATTTTCTATGTTTTGAAATTTCTCCAGGGTTGAATTTTCTCACAAATAACTCTGTGATTTGCTGCTTTGCTTGCCTTCACTCTTGGTGTCAAGCAAATTATAGGAATTTCTCTAGACTTTTCCAGAGAAATTCTCTCCAGAGAAATTCCCAAATTTCTCTAGATGAGAATTTCTCTGGAGAGAATGAGAGATGAAATCAAACAACATCAATATTGCTCTCCTTCTCAATAAGAGGGTTTCAAATTTTGATTTCACAAACACTGGGTTTTATACAAATTAAGCATTCCAAGTTCCAGCTCGAAACCAAAGAATTTCTCTGGACCAACCCAAAGAAAATTCAGTTAAAAAACCAGAGAATTTCTCTGGTTTCAACCCAGAGAAAATTCAGTTCAGGTGATCGTGATTTACCATTTCTTTCTGATAAATGGATCATTTGAATCAGCTTTGCGGACGCAACTAGAGCCAACCAAAAATATCATAGCCCACGGTTTTTTGCACTATAATATATAAAGATGATTAGCTTTTACCTATCCCAATAAGCTATCGGCATGCATAGTACCTATATCGAGCAGACAGGTCAAAAAATCAACTCATCTGCAGGATCTGCACGCCAAACAATTTCACACGGCACCACAAATGTGGTAACTCGCCCCAACAAGCGTGAAGCTTACACTTTTGCACCAGTCTACCTCAAAAACACCGGCGCCGGAGAGACCACCATGGCCAACTGAACTTAAAAAAATGGCCCTCCTAGGCGCCACTCATTGAAATAAGGTGTGCGATATACACCGAAACCAACACGCTGCATCTTTCTTCCCCACATACCATGACCACCGATGCAAACCCAGAAACAATCTTTACCACCGGCACAAAAAAACGACAACATCAAAGTATAACCCAGCACCGTCGGAAGCGAACCTGGATCAAAACTGCACAAAAACACATGTCCAGAGCCACGTGACCGCGTCGGTAAACCCACAAGTGCCACGGTGAACGGCGAGCCCACTTAGAAACAAACAACCCCACTAGACATGCCACAAACCAGCATAGAAACACAACCCAGAACAAAGAGAATTTCTGGGAACAAACGATCACCATTTCAAAGCAACGTCACCACTGCAAGTTAGGGTTTGGGATTGATGTATGAGGGAGAGAGAGAGAGAGAGAGAGACCAAACTCAGTTTTTGAAGTCCTTTCGTTTCTTCTTAAATTTCTCTGTGATACATGAGTTTGGAGTTGAAGGACTTTAGACATCATAAAATAATATTGTGGATCTCTTCCATTATTAAAAGTGGGAGAGGGACCTTAGACTAATTTTCTCCAAAATTAAATACATTCATTATTTTCATATAATTTTATCTTTTTAAAAAGTAAAAATTAATTTTAAAATTTTCAAAATATGTTTATGCTTCTTTTAATTTGGTTGGTGAATTACTTTGGCTGGAGAGCTCTTGAAATTTACGTAACAAAATCGGGTTAATTGTAATTAGCCTAATAGTGCAAAGGCTGAGTTTTTTTTTGTTGATAAATTACAAATACATCATCTAAAGTTTGCCTCAAATACAAATTGTCGCTCATAGTTTTAAAAATTACATAACGTCCCTTGAAATTTTAAATTTCATAACAAATAGTCCATTTTATTAATAAATCATTAGGTCAATTAACAATTTTAATAATGACAGAAATTTATTTCAATTAATAATTCAGGTAATTTTATCATTATATAGGAAATCAATTAGAAAATTTATTTTTTTATTAATTCTGTTAAATAAAAAATTATAATAAGGGGGTTATTTGTAATTTTTCAAATCATAAGAGGCAATCTGTATTTTAAACAAATTTTAAAGGGTATATTTTTAATTTATCCCTTAAAAAAAAATGCTACAGTGATTATTTGTATGGTTGTTATACTCTTAGGCCACGTTTGTTTGACGAATTGAGTTGGATGAGATTGGTAGTGAGATGATAGTTAGTGAATAGATTGTTAATGTGAGAATTGTTAGTGAGAAGATTAAGTAAAAGTGTGCTTGTTTTGATGATAGGATTGAAGATGGTTGGTGATGAGATTGTTAAATTATTTTTATATAAAATAAATAAATAAATTATTTATAGATTACAAAAAAATTAAAACAAATATTTAAATAAACAGGTGCATTTGATTAAAAAAATAATATTTTTATATAAAATAAACTCAATTCACTCACTATTTTTTTAATTATATCCAAAATCCAACCAATCTAATCCACCCACATAGGGGGATTAGTATTCCACCTAGTCTTAATCCTCCAGTGTATGCCCAAACCAAACATGAAATTGGTGGACCCCACCTTATACACAATCTAATCCCTTTCTTCATGCGGCCATCAAACGTGATCTTAACTCGAAATGTTTTCATTCATCATCAAGCCCTTGTTTCCCACAATTATTTCCTTGTTCTGAACAATGGCCTTCACTCCATGGCCAGTGATGGATTCAAAGTCTCGGGCTTCTGGCCAAACTGGATTCTCTTCATCTTCTCGGAATTTCTTTGCATACTCAACAACGGCCTTGGCCAAGGGATGCTCACTGTTAATCTGATAAAACACACCAGTATAATCAATCACCAGTCATCTTTAGTTAGGAAATCTGGAAGAACATAAATATCAAAGGCAGTTCGAAATTTTAGAAAATTCAATCAGCAATTCATACTTCAAATCAAACCTAGTTATAAACTAAAACTCCATTGTGGTCAACATAAGTATTCTTCATTTTTGTAAAACATGCTTGGTTATCATTTTTCAAAAACATTTTTCAGAAAATTTACTTTCTTATTTTCCGTGTTTTTTTGTTTTTACTAAATTTTTTTAATATTTTGAGCAATTTTTTTAATTTTTAGACATACCTAACATAAATATACCTAAAAAGTAAAAAAAAAAAAATTGAAAAAAACCTTTTAAAAATTCACTAAATTCCAAAAATACAAAAAAAAAATACAAGAATTAAGTATATTTTTTTGTATTTTTATGTATTTATTAATTTTTAAAAATATTTTTTCACAAATTTTTTACTTTTTAGATACATCTAAGTAAGGTGCATCTAAAAAAGTAAAAAAAAATATTTAAAATTTCAAAAATACTCACTAAAAACAAAAAAAACACGAAAACCAAAAAACTCAGTTTTCAAAAAACTTAATTCAAAAAACTCAAACCAAACACACTGATTGGTTTCGCAGCAAATATGCTTCACTTTCCTTGGTGTGTGGGTTTGTGTGTGTTTGTGTGTGTCTGCTTGTGAGCTCTCTTAACAAGAGACAACAGGTTTTGGATCGAAGAACAAAAAAGAGCATTTAGCAACATGAAATTGCAATTAGAGGCCACCGTGATTAAAAATTTGAACTAACATGGCCTTAGATTCCAAATCCAATTCCATGTTTCTAAAGGAAGCATAAGTTTAATTTGCAGGCACAGCATACTTCAAAGGACAGTCTGAATCTGATTCTTGAACCTACTTTTTGTTACCAAATAGCCCATTTAATAAGCAAGTCCTTAAAGTCAGAAAATTTCATAAATATCATTTCCAAGGACAGATGTATTTTGATTCCAATATAAAATATTATCCAGAAAGAAAATTACCTCAGCTGCTGCAACCAGTTCATAGAATTCTCGAAGTACCATAGTTTTCAAGAGCCTTGTGTTAACAACCACCGGCTTGCCAATAGTGAGAGTTCCAGTCTTGTCAAAGACAATGCAGTTCACCTACAACAAAACATTCACTTCAAGATTTTATTGATCCAAAATGTAAATTAGATTTTTTATTAGTGTTTACATCACTATTCCATAAAATATCTTGGACTTTAACTTTCAAGTGGATTAGAAATATAGATTGTGATTCACATTGGAGTTTTAAAATACATCAGTATCGGGAGTAAGTTTTTGAAGTGTGACTGGAACAATTATTGAAAAAAGATTGATTTCTTATGTTGACCTTGTGTGCACTTTCTAGTGCTTGTCCCCCTTTAATTAGGACACCTTGAGAAGCACCAACTCCAGTACCAACCATAACAGCAGTGGGTGTGGCCAAACCCAGAGCACATGGGCAGGCAATGACCATGACAGAGATGCCAAACTGCAGTGCAAGCTGAAAGCTATCCATGGAAGAAGGTATCCAAGATTTTGGGTAGCCATTGAACTTTCCAGCTAAAAACCAGGCAAGCCAAGTGGAAAAGGATAGCATTATAACCTGCAAAATACAGTCAATTTTCAATGAGGGCCAAGAACTATCCCATTTGAAATAGGGCTGTTCATTAACCGTAAGATCTGAATAAACCGACCGAGTCGACTCAAACCGTTGAGTCACAGTCGATTTCGATTGTTGTACGGTCGGTCAACGGTTTCAAAAGGCTAAATTTTTTAATATAACGGTAGGTGTTCGGTCTCCCATGGAAAAATATTCACTACACCCAAACTGTCCGAATTTATAATGTAAAGTATACATGACATTTTAGGATTGGAAGTCAAAAATACATTTTATCTACCCAGGCTTATCCCCTTCTCTATTTAAACTCTCCAAGTACACTTGGCAGCATATGATAAGTTGTCAAAATAGCACACACTATCTTTGACTATAGATTATCAATTCGAAAAATGACTCGTAGCTCGAATTTGGTCTGGCTCGAATGGCCCGAACAGCCCAAAACAAGTTTTTTTTTTTTTCTTTTTTTTTTTGTTTTCATTTTTTCCTCTTCATTCCTTCGAACACAGAGACAGAGAGGGAAGGGAAGAGAAGAGGAGGGAGAGAGAGAGAGAAAAGAGAGAAGGGAAATTTGATGTCTGGATCTGCATCTGCAAAAAAAATCTGCATCTGCATCTGGATAAAAAATATGAACAAAAAAAATTTGGATCTGCAAAAAAAAAAAAAAAACTGCATCTGCAAAAAAATTTGTTCATTTTTATTCTAAGTCTGGATCTGCAAAAAAAAAAAAAATTTGATGATGACAATGTTGATCCGGATCTGCAGAGGAATTTTTTTTTGTTGTTGATGAAGATGATGAAGATGATGTTGAAGATGATGAAGATGATGATGTTAAAGATGATGGAGATGATCCGGATCTACAGAGGAATTTTTCTTTTTTTGTTGATGAAGATTATGATGTTGAAGATGGGAGTTTGATCCAGATGTTGAATTAAAAAGCAGAGTTTAATTGCAATTCTGAAGATGATGATGATGTTCAAAATCTGAAACTGTTGAAAAAAAAAATTGATCTGGGTTTGGATGAAAAAAAAAAATTGTTCAATGGATCTGGATCTGCATCAGATTTTGAACAAAAAAAATTTATACAACAGCTTCAGATTTTGATAAAAAAAAATCTGATCTGAGTCTGCAGATTTTGAACAAAAAAAATTTGTACAAAATTTTTTTTTGATGTTGATGAAAATGGATCTGCATTAGATTTTGAACAAAAAATTCATGTTCAAATTCGGAGGTTGATCTCTGTCTCTCTCTCCTCCCCTCCTCTTATTTCTTCTTCGTCTCAGTTTCAGACCAGAGAGAAGGGAAAAAAAGAAAAAAAAAAAAAAAAGCAAAACAACGTCGTTTTGGTGTTGAGCCAAATTCAAGCCTCTGAATTTCGAGTTACGAATCGGAACTGATTGAAATTATATAAAGTTGGAGAAATTTCAGAGAAAAAAATTATTGTAATAGTGATTTTAATTCTAGTAAATTTAGATAGTAAGATTTCTTTAACCAAATCTATTGAATTGCTGAAAACCAAAAATAAAATAAAATAAAATCATCTACTGAAATTATAGAAAGTCAGAGAAATTTCACGAACTAAATCTAATGAAATTGCAAAAAAAAAAAAAAGAGATAAAATCACTGAAAGTCAAAGAAATTTTACCGACTAAATACACTAAACTTGGAGAAAATTAGAAATTCAACTAACTAATTTCATTCAGACTTATACAAAAATCTATTTTTACCATTATAACAAACAATATCTATTAAACAACAATACAAAAATCAAATAGGAGAGAGAGAGAGAGAAGAGAAAAAAAAAAAAGGCGACAAGTGAAGTTGGCGGCGATGAGGTCATAATGGTGACTGTAAACAACGAATAAAGGTTCGGATTTCACTAGTGGTTGAGTTTCCTCAAGAAGAGATGAAGTAGTGATGGAAAGTGGATCTAGAGAAGGATACGACGATGTATGGCAGGTGAAGGTGGCAGGTTGTTGAACCGGTAGCTGCCTGTCTTGTCTCGCTGTCTTTCCTTTTCTGATCATCCCTTTCGACGTTGCCTGTTGCTCCAACACTCTCCCAAACTGGCAAACCCCTTCTTCGGCGACTTCTCTCCATCTTGATTCTTCTTTCTTGTTGCCCTAATTGACAAATTGGGGCAAAATTGAAACCCTAATCGACGAATTGAGACTTTTATATGAGATTGGGGCAAAACGATGTCGTCTTGGGGCAAAAAATGGAGGGTTTTGCTAGTCCATCAAACGAAGATAGACATGGGATAAATTTTGACACGAAAGTACCATCAGGGTTTAAATTGATAAAATTAAAATTTTAGAATTTAAATTAAAAAACACGCGAAATCCTGAGATTTTATTTATTTATTTATTTATTTTATAATTTGCCCAAAAAAATAAAAATTTAATCATGCAAAACACTACTCTAAAAATTTAGGGTATGTTTGGTTTGAGTTTGGAAGATGAGTTTTAGAGATAAAAAGTACGAAAATGTGTTTGGTTTGGTTTTTTTCAAAAGATGTTTTGAAAAATTATTTTGAGAGAGAGTTTTGGAAAAAGTGATTGATTTGATGTGTATGAGAGAGAGATTTGTTTGGAAAACTTGTAAACCAAACAAGTTTTGAAAAAAAATTTTAGAAAAATTTGTTTGGTTTGATTACTTTTGAAAACTTATTTGTAGAGAATTTTCCTAAAATTTTTTGAGAAACACAAACCAAACAAGGCCTTATTCTTTACCTTTTGCCCCTCCAAAAATTTCAACAATGCATCCATAAACGCAGGTCAGTTTTTGTTTGTGTATCAAAATTGGATTGGCAATTTTAAAAATTTATTTTTTTGATAATTCCAGGAAACATAAAGGTGTTTTGTCGTACAAGACCAATATTTGAGGATGAAGGCCCTTCTGTTGTTGAATTTCCCGATGATTGTACCATTCGCATCCCTACTGGTGTTGATGATGTTGCCAACCCAAAAAAGGATTTTGAATTTGACAGGGTTTATGGGCCTCATGTTGGACAAGGTGCCATGAAGTTTGCTTGGTCTATATCATTTTTTTAAAACTTACATTGTCTTTAATTTTAGTCGTGTGGAAGTATGCTATCTAACTTACATTTACATTTTGTATGTACAGCTGAACTTTTCAGTGATGTTCAGCCCTTTGTGCAGTCAGCTTTGGATGGATATAATGTTTCTGTATTTGCTTATGGGCAAACCGAATCAGGAAAGACGCACACTATGGTCTCTTTCGACCTCCATCTCTTTTATTATATATATATTTATAATAATTATAGATTATGCTTGCATTTTTATTACTTTAGAGAGCTACATATACATCAGATCTTACACATTCAATTTGAGGACTGCTCTACTTTTAAGATTCATATCTTCAATATATTATAATAGGCTGTCTAATGGGGCAAGGTAGTTTTGTTGAATTTTAAGATATGCTCAATGCTTTGGGTAACTGTTTGATTTATTCATTAATATGCTAATTCTATGTGCTCCCACCTTTTGCAGGTAGGATCTAGCCATGATCGTGGCTTATATGCCCGAAGTTTTGAGGAGCTATTTGATTTGTCCAACTCGGACACAACCTCTATTTCTCGATTTAATTTTTCTGTTACAGTCTTCGAAATCTACAATGAGCAGGTTCCGTTACTACATCTTAGTATTGTGCATACCTTTCTTCCATTGCTCTCATAATTCCGTTACGTTCTGTAATTTCTATTTAGTTTGGCTTTTGTTTTCTTCTGCTAAACATTATTACCATTACCTAATGCTTGTGCTCCTCAATATTTTTCTAGATAAGGGATTTGCTTTCAGAATCAAGGAACATCCTACCGAAGATCAGGATGGGGTCACTGGATTCATTCATAGAGCTGGCACAGGAAAAAGTTGATAATCCATTGGATTTCTCAAAAGTCTTGAAAGTGGCATTTCAGAATCGGGGAACTGATTTATTGAAGTTCAACTTCTCTCATCTGTATGTTCTGTATTCTGTACCTCACATAATCTGTCTATGGCTTTGCTGTTCCATACATTCTGATTTGTTTTTTTGTCAATTTTATTATTGCCATCCTTCCTGCGTAATAGATGTTTGGGAAATATGGGTGAGGCTTATTCCCTCTAGAAGATGAAGAAGTTCATCACTAGATAAGACCATCATTTTATTATTATTATTTTTTAAAATTTCTATAATGCCAGGACCAGGTTTCCTGTAGCTACAAATACAATCCTAATTTGTCTCATTGTTGGAATATTCACTACTTATCCTCATAGACACTCATATAACTTTAGTATGATTTGGTTTCTCGAAAGCAATCCACTCATTTATGTTAAACTAAACATTGAACTTACATAAAAAAATTGCTGGAAATTATCATGATTTAGTGAGTTTTAGTAGCCAAAATATGTTTCAAAATCATCCTTAAAAGGTTTTCATTCATTCCAAGAGTTTGATTCTTGACATATCATAATATGGCTGAACTTGTGTAGTTAAATTTGAGTTACAAATAGATTTATGTTCTGATTGGTGCCCATTAGGTCATGGGCTATGGTGGAGATACAAGAGTCTGAATGATATTTGTTCATGATCGTATTTTTCTATAAAATTAGCCCAAATTTTTGAGTTTAACTTTGGTTAGATGCCTCATTCCTCCCCGTTGAGTTCTTTCCAAAAGTTCCAAATTAAAATGCACAAACATGGACATAGGACACGTGATTTCAAAAAAATTGAGACATGGATACGGTGGGACATGGCAATAAATATAATTTTAAATATATTTTTGTTTATTTTTTATGGATTATATATTAATTACTTAAATCTAACCAAAAATAATAAACATTCAACGTCCAACATCCATAAAAAACACTAAAAAAGAGGGGGGAAATAACTAGTTGGCGTGTCCTTGCCATGTCCTCTGAAAAAATTAATTAAATAAACCCTGCTGTGTTGTCGTGTTTGACACTGCTACAATACCCGTTTTGAAATGTCGTTGCTTCATAGGTTCCAATAGCCACTAGCATTTTTGCCTTGTCAACATTTAAAAATCAGTACCTTTTCATTCTTCAAGTCCTATTTGTTTATCTACTGTGTGGCAAGTCAGCTTCATTAATGAGTTTAACTATGCAATCTGCATGTCTTCCAGTTCACCAAGGTGATCAGTTAACTTTTTACTATTGATTCCCATTTCTATTAATAACTGTGTACGACAAGGGTGGTAATGAGCTTCTATAATGTATATTGCAAGGGTGGAGTATACTCTTAGTAACAGACCTCAAAATAGAAAAAGCTATGTCGATGACCTTTGGGAATAACAATTAGTTTACAAGGTTTGTAGAAACTAGTAGTCCCTACTCGTACCAATGAGCAATTAATATAATGAATTAACAGTTGCTGATTTATTCTTTATCATCAAAACGTAAACCAATTATAAATTTATAAATCTGCCGTATGATTATAACATAGAGAAACTGGTATATAAGATTCCAGAATCGTCCTTTTGATTGGAAAGTATATCATAAGTCATAACAAGGTCGAGGGAGGTTTAGATTTAGCAGCATCTGCTCTGGACAAAGCTCCTCTCTGTCAAGATGGCTTTAAAGACTTCCTTTCCAAACAGTTTTTGGTCCTCAATAATCTCCAACAAGTATGGGTTACAGTATAATTGTTGGAATCCTCATCCTATTTGCAGGGAGACTCACCGAGTCTGCAAATTTGTTTGTTACACATCTGTCTTCTTTCCCCATGCCATACATCCAGCAACCTTTCTGTCTTAGTTGCTAGACTGGATGAGGTCAAGGAGAATGAAGAGCAAAAAGAGGATGTTGAAACATCTGAGGATAATGATGAGATCAATGGCGATGAACTATAACAAGCCTATGAAAAGCTGTACGAGGAATCTCTGAATTTGTCCAAACTCAACGACAAACTCTCTCTCAAGCTCAAAACATGTGAGAGTGAGAATGTCAGGCTGATAGGAGAACTTGCAACAGCAAAGGAGAATATCATCAAGATCTCTAGTGATAGGCAAGAAGTATGTGGAAAACTTCTATCCTGTGAAACTGAAAGGAATGAACTCCTAAAGGTGTATTCCACATATGAAGAAAAACTTGAAAGTCTTGAGATGTCACAAGCTACACTGGAAGAGAGAGTCTGTCAAAAAGATGAAGAACTCCGTGTTGCTAGAGCCACTATTGCCATGTGGAACGAAGGTTCCAAATCTTTAGAGGACATCCTCGGGTCTCAACAAATGGATTGTGACAAAAGCAGGCTAGGTTATGGTGCAACAGCTCACAAGGGACAGGCCTCCACTTCATATGACATGAAGACTCAAGCAAAGGGAAAGTTGAAGGTAGACCAAGCTGATCTCTCTCTTCATCCACCTAAAGTTGGTAAGATCAACAAAAGAGAGGTAAAACCTGTTTTTATTTGTCATCACTGTGGTAGGTATGGCCACATTCGTCCTTATTGTTTTGAACTATTTGGTAAGGTGTCTCAAAAAGGTAGAAATTCGAAAACTTTTTGGGTTAGGAGACAACCTTATATGTCTAGGCGAAATACCAAGACTAAAAAGATTTGGGTGAGAAAAGATGATTTGACTTGTTTAGTTGTTCACACTGCTCTAAAAGCACGTGATTCTCACATGTGGTATCTTGACAGTGGGTGCTCTCGTCATATGTCTGGTAACAAATCTTACTTCACCTCCCTTGAAAAATATGAAGGAGGAATTGTTACCTTTGGAGATGGCGGCACTTCGAGAGTCATTGGTAAGGGCTCTATAAGTGTTGCTGGTCTTCCTAAGCTCGAAAATGTTCTTCTTGTTGATGGTCTTAAAGCAAATCTTTTGAGCATTAGTCAAATGTGTGATTCCCATCATGAAGTATTGTTTTCAAAAAATAAATGTGAAATTTTGGATAAAAAGGGAAATACTGTCTTACATGGGGTTCGCACATCTGATAACTGCTATGGGATTGTTACTACTAATGATCTCACGTGTCATTCTGCCATCATTAGTAACATTGACCTGTGGCATCAAAGATTAGGTCACATGAATTTCAAAGACCTAACTAAGATAGCCAACAAAGAGCTTGTGAGAGGAGTACCTAAATTGGGTAAGAATTTGAGCCATGTGTGTGGACCATGTCAACTTGGAAAGCAAACCCGTGCCCCTCATAAAAAGGTGAACAACTTTACAACCAAACGTCCTCTTGAATTGGTTCACATGGATTTAATGGGTCCTACCCGCACTGAAAGCATCGGAGGTAAAAGATACATTTTTTTAACTGTTGATGATTTTACTCGATTTTCATGGGTAAAGTTTTTAAGGGAAAAATCTGATACGTTTAA